TAATCATTCAGGAGCCTGTAGGGTATTCTGCTCAACTGCGCATAACCTTGCATTACCGCCAGAAGACTGTCCCTTATAATCGAAAGGGGAATATCCACTCAGAGGTCTACTGCTCTCATCTACATGTCGAAAGTCGAGTCATCTGATTAACTCTGATTATAAAGCTCTCATATCCTATGTGAGAAGACGTTTTCAAACCCATCCTCGTTGAGAAATTCTTTTCAGCGACCATGTAAATCAGTTATGGTAATTCAAGCATCTACTGCCAGGTCCACTCAACGTAAGAAGACGTTCATGCCCGATTGAAGCACGTGAGGTTTCTAGAGGTTTCGAAACTCTTTGTTGTTTCTTTTGCAGTTTCGCGGTTGCCAGTTGGGTGAAATAACTTTCTGGACGTAGATTAACTTCGCCCTAGATGAAGAGGTAAAAATAATGAGGAAACACTGACGATCCTTACCTTTAGCTACATTGTGAGCTTTTACGAGCCCCATTTTTGATTGCCGACAGTTCAAAAGCCAGGGAATACGAAAAACATCTGACGAAAAAAATCACTGAGTACGTAACGATTCAAAAAAGTCGTTTGAAGATATGCTTGTGAGCATTCTTTGCAGGCCCCAACATAATAATGTGACGATAACAAGCATGGCTATAGGCAATATGCCAAACCCGGGGTTGTTTCTTGTCCGTGGCGACTACATAACTAATTACAACGAGATATCCAACAGGTCCAAATTATTAGGTTTTTTTTCCAACATGCAGGTGCTGGCAAATATCACTTCAGCATCTTTTGGTGACAAGGACTTTTCAGTTTCTTTATGAAGTGGGTGTTACGGTATGGAGAGGCGGTGTTCACGAAGAAGAACGATTTTACTTCACAGCTGAAAGTTGCTGGTGTGTTCGGACCTCTAATCATAATAACAAATGTCGTGCAATCTTTTGAAAACCACACGTTTGAGCATAGTTGATCTAGCTTCTTTATAATCAATTATATATTTACTTTCATTGAGAAACTTTTCATTCAATGAATGGAAGTGATATTTAGGAAAGCTCAATGCTCTTCTGACTTGACAGCACTCTGTGGTCAACTGCATTGGAAAGTCATATATCGAGGGGTTTACTACATTCGGCAACAAATAAATACTATCTATACTGACACTGACAGGACACTACTGACTTTTTCTGCTACAAACCTTGGTTCGATTCACTTTGTTGACATTTAGACACGTTTATTCCGTGACAATTCCAGTTTTAGAGTGATTGTGGTTTACAGGGCCCCTCGTATTCCGGAGCAAACTCCGAATTGCTTGTTAAAACACTTAGTGAGCCGATATCATGTGAGAAACAGTGTTATACTCGGTGATTTCAGTTTGCCGGAACTTTATAACAAGACATAGCTTTTCTTTTTCGTTTTGCAGGGCGCAATCGACTACTATATTCCTTGAAAGAAGGTTTCTTGCGTGAAATCAATCCACCTACCCAGGATTTGCAGAATATGTGGGAGCAAAGAGAATGCTTATCGATGAGGCCAGACAATCCGGGGATGAATACAAAACCTTTACAAAGCGTTTCCACACCCGTCTCAAGAAGTACAACGATTAATTAGAAAGGAAAATAATCAAATCAAGTAATGCTAAGGTCTTCCACAGGTATTTTAGCTGAAGAATCAAGGACTTCAAGCAAATCGGTTGTCTGAGAAGAGAGGAAGTTGTTGCAGTCTCTCCAGTAGATAAAGCCATTATGTTGGCTGATCATTTCGAGGGCGTCTTCCAGGAAGATGATGGAAACGTTCCTCATTGGTTTCAGCCGTCTGTTGAACCAATGAAGGAGCTTCCGTGGTTCATCGCCTCATAGCTATGTGAGCTAATCATGAAATGGCCTACTTCTTCCTCAGTCACCCCTGATTTTGTGCCATTTTTGTTTTGCAGAGAATAGCCGCTGCTATCTGTAGTGCTCTTACACACATCTTTAGTCAGTCGTTATGCTTCGGTGAGGTACCCTTGCGCTGGAAACATTCCTTCGTTACTCCGCTACTGAAGGAAGAGCCATCATGGAACCCTGAAAATTATCGCCCCGTAAGTATCACAACTCTTTTCTGTCGGCTATTTGAGAAGTTCGTGAAAAAGTATGTCATGCACACGACAACGCTTAAGAAGACACAAGCCAAGATAAAAAGCCACCCCAGACCCGTTCAGTGCTCATACGCAACCACATCAAATGCACTATGGACTTGGTTTGATGTATGTGGGGTTTCTATCATATTTTCAAATGCGAAGTGATTGACTGTATTGTCGTTGCGCTCAAAATGACTGCCTTTTCAATCAATCCATATTTAAGGCGAGTTTCTGGCACGCGCTCTTCCCTGTCTTTGTGAAATTTTCTTAACTTCAAAGGGATATTTTGGCCGGAAAGACGAAATGAAATGAATATTTAATATAATATAATGAATATATAATTATAATATATTATATGATATAATATAATATAATATATAATATAATATAATATAATATAATATAATATAATATAATATAATTAATAATATATTATATTATATTATATTATATTATAATATANTATAATATAATATAATATAATATAATATAATATAATATAATATAATATAATATAATATAATATATTATTAATAATATAATATAATATTATATTATATTATATTATATTATATTATATGAAATAATATAATTTAATATAATATAATATAACATAATGGTTACTACATATAAAGCGCTCGCGTCTGTCTGTCTGTTTGTTTGTTTGTTTATTTGTAATTCGATATAACATCAACAAACACTGGTCAAGTCTGGAAAGGGTTGAGCATAGGACAAGACCAACACAGCACACGTGAGCTCAGCGGAGCTCCGCCAACAAGGGGCGGGCATGCGACGGAACTGGGCGAGGCCACTTGCAAATTCTTCTCATTCGCTCTGATAACAGTCCAGACGTCTGGAAAAATTGTGTAAAGGTGGGGTCGGGTCAACAGTTTGAAAAAGGAAACCTACCCGCGGTGGGCGGGGCGTTCTCGCAGTGAGCGGCAGTTTCCGCAGAGATTCATAACTCGATTCAACGAAGGCGTCCAGACTAGAAAAAAATAAAAAGAGTGAGCAAGGCCTTGTGAGTGCTGGACATGTGTAAGTTTAGCGAAGTCCCGCTCACAATGGGCGGGGCGTGCGTTTTGATGAAAGCTACTTTTTAAAAATGAATACAACATCGTTCGAAAACGTTCTGGGATGCGGCGAAATGGTGTTAAAATGTAAAAGAACAAGTGTGGTCAAAACCTCGAAGTAGGCGGGGTTGGCACTAAATTGGGCGGGGCCCAGATCAAAAATTTATAACTCTGTTCAGAAACGTTCTTGGATACGGGAAAATGTATTAAGCTGTAAAAGAACAGTTATGGCCAAAACCTTGAAGTGAGCGGGGTTGGCACTAAAGTGGGCGGGGCTCAGATCAGAAATTTATAGCTCTGTTCAGAAACGTTCTAGAGTGCGGGAAAAAAGTGGTTAGAGGTAATGAAACAAATGTAGACAGATCCCACAAGTGGGTGGGGCTTACATCAAAATATTATGTCTCTTCAGGTGCGTTTCAGAACGCGGGAAAAGGGTGTCTGGAGGTAGTAAAAGTCATGTGGTTTGTAGTCGTGGGTGGGTTTGCAAAGAGGAAGGTGGAACTGAGTTCAAAAATTTTTCCATCTGTTCTTCACACTAACCCTGACCACATAGGTGTACAACTAGGGGATATCACTGAATTATACTCAAAATTAGGGTGAAACTCTCTAAAGTTAGTATCCATGGTTCCAGGAACAGTAGTCCCTTCTACACAAAAGCAAATGCACTACATTGACTTCAGACCTCACGAAACAAATTCTACAATAACCCCGGCCACACAGGTACATATCCTGTAGAGGTCACGGAAGAGGCTCAGATGATAGAGGTCTATAATGAAAACCAGAATCTCATGTGGATCCGTCCCTTCTGACTAGAACCCCCAGCGCACGCGATAGCGTGTGTAGCCGCCTGGTATAATATAATATAATATAATATAATATAATATAATTTAATATAATATAATATAATATAATATAATATAATATAATGTAAGGTCGGCAAAAAAGTCCCGCGACAAAAAAAATGTTTGAAGCTTCGAAAATTCGTACCAACAGTGTGAACACGGTAGCAAGGGCGATAAATTGTATAACATTCATCGGGCAATCAACACATAAGTAAATAATGGCACCGTGTGGACTTCCACAGCATTACGGTCAAGAAATGGACAACACCCGATTCGTACCATCTACCAAGGACGTCAAGGGAAAAGAGTGGGTGTAGCGGCTCATTTATCAGCAACCTTTTCATTGCTTGCACTGCTCACCGATCAACGGTCAGCAATCGGTTGGATCGCTTCACTGCAGGAGATACTAGATACTGTATATTCAGAATAGCGCAAGCATCACCCCTTATTTAAATGGAGGTTGAAGGAATCCATCCACTAGCAGTTGCTGAACGCAGACTAGATGGACACGGCTATCGCTTACCCCTATGATCCCTTTTATTTGTCCAACGGGGATAGAGAGGGACGATCAAAAACGTAAACCAGGTCCCTACAGAGGGACACGGGGCATCGGGAATTCGCTTTAGACACACGTCGAAAGTCCACCGATCCCGGTTGGTCCCAGGTTCTTCATAAGCCGTACTCCCGGAGTGTTGCTTCTTCTACCAAAGCGGAAGTTATATTGTTATATATTGTCTAAACTAGCTAAGTTATCTGATTCTGTCTTATCATCTCTCGCGACTTTTTGATCTGTTCAATCTATCCAATCTATCTGAACTATCTTAATTGCCAATCTATCTAATCTACCTTATCTCTCTAGTTTGTCTTACCTTATCAATCTAACTATCATCCAGTCATCCAGTCTGTCATTCAAATTGTGAACCTATCAGTCTGTGAACCTACCAATCTATCAGTCAATCACTCTATCTATCTGTATGTTCTGTTTAAGTTAGCTTTATTAGGAGATCATTCAAAGAGTGTTGAAAAGGGTAGTGACATAGTCATTGACGCACACAGATCATTCACTGTACGACTGAATGGGCACTCTGGGTGCCCTCTGTATTGTTTCATAAATCAAATGATTTACTTCTTCTAATGCAGTGCACACATTCTGTGCTTATTGTGCAGAGTCCTGCTTCTATTAAGGTGGCCAACCGTTCTTATCATATGCTTATTTCGAACATGACAGAAGAATCCTCACATTGTTTTTCGCTGTACGCTTGTGTAAACAAGGTTGGCTCCACGGAATTTCCTAGTCACTCTAATTCCTAGAAAGCGTAGCATGATATTTCCACCTTCAGAAGAAAAAACCGACGGACTGAGTTATGCCGCATACAAAATCTGCATACCCTATGCTGCACTGGTTCAGGTGTCGCCCTTCTGTTATAACGAAGATTATGTTTTAAATTTTGTGAGCTGCAGATTATTGCCGACATGAGCGACATATGCAGTAACACCCTCTACCTTCGAATGAAATATCCACCCCAGGTATGGTACTCTCTGAAGGTGCATATCCCTCGCTCATGAGCTAGCAAGATATAAAATTGCCTCTTTTGTGTGCATACTTTGTTCTCCCTGTTTTCTAGAATAGGATCTGTCGATTGAAGAGATCATTCGCTGCAGTACTTTCGCCACGAGACCTACCGTAAACATCGCTGGTTTACGTGAAGCTCTTTCCATGTTGTTATTTCCTATTTTTCTTTCGCTGCAGGAGCTTTTCACTCGAGAATCATTCCTCTACTCTTTCGAAAACTCCACTACTCGAGTCACAGCTGTAGACAAGTTAGTGATATAGGGGAGCAGGTTACCTTAATGGAGTCGAGGATCAATGTAATACTCCTCCCTGAGCAACGCAACCTGCCACAGTTCTGTTGTTGCTTCCAATTGCATACTGCTACTAGTTCATGCAGAACAATGGTTTGCCATGGATTAGCCTCCTTATGGATGATTAATCCGCCGCAAATCGTCGCTTTGCCGTAGCGTCTGTTGAAATGCTCCAACCAATCCGAATTGGAGAACAGCAGGAAGCTTCGCTAATGAGCAACCCATATATAGATAAAAATTTCCGAATTTTTCATTGTTCGCCATTATTTTCAGGAAACTGGAAGATTGAATTGAGAGCTCTGTTCTTAATGTTCCGTAAATATGTACGGCACTATATTCGAGAAGAGCAAAAAACATTATTTTAATGCAAACGACGCAATTTATACATATTCAGGAAAACAGCGGTTGAAATCAGCGAATTTCAGGAATTCTTGACTTCTTTCCAGCCGTGTGTTTTGTGTGAAAAATCAATGCTCTCTTTATGGAAAAATCAGATAGTCAATTATTTTCGATTTTTCTAAAAATTTTCCTTTGAGTCCACAGAGTACCTGTTACATTATCTGCGTACTTTACTGCATTGCAGGCTCTCCTTTCCAGTCGGAGACCTCATTCTCCATTTCTAATGGACATGCATGACACTATTATGGAGGAGCGCATGAGATCGTAGGCATGTTGACACTTTTCATGACAGATTTCGAACAATTTCTGCTGAAAATGGTGTTTCAAATCGTTAATAACCCAGAAAACCCGATATCTCTATTGCCACGTATTTCTTGGAATTCCAGTTGATTCTCACTCTCACATTCAGAGCCTCAGATCATGTGTTACAAAGAATAAATGACTCTTGTACAAAAGTAGTCACAGGTATGTAGTCAACACGGTCTTTCATTCCAGGTTCATTATTCAATCTAAATTGGTGTACTTTTCACGATTGCTCCTCATGTTGCTCCGTTATACTGTGGCCTGAAATTACACGAAACATTTCTGAAATTGTTCTCAGTGAAGGTTGAATAGTTAATTCAAATAACGTGTTCAAATGAGATAGGGTGTGTTCACAAGTGAACTGAAAGTGGTGGAGTCGATATGTATTGGAATATATATCTTATACGAGCTCGTTGAGAATGCAAGATCATCGTGAACCGTCAAGAACTATGTAGAAGTTTGAGGATAGATGGCTTAACCGCTTTTTTAATGATTGTAGAGCCAGTCGACCCTTCCCTATCGTATTTTATTGACACTCGCCTTGGCTACTGTGCTTTCTCAAGAGGATACCTGCGCTAATGCTGTTCAATTGTACATGACATGCTGTACAATGACAGCAACCAAGACCTCCATCCCTCCGAGGTCGGTCAATTGGTACCAGACTCGACTGGTAGGATAAATGCATTGAATTGTACATTGGCTGGCCACCACAAGTCATTGTGTAGGCCGCATACGCACTCATTACGCCACTACGATTGTGAATGGAAGTTAAGTACGGGGGCGCATTGATTAACGCTAAAATCCTTTATCCTTTACTGCTGTTCAATAGGCAGGAAGAAAACGACAATGTCATCAGATATTGAATTTGGCTTCGAGTAATAATGTTACAACATTACTCGCTTGCAATTTTGTTTTTTTTTGCAAATGCTGCCATGATTTGACCTTTGGTCACCCATATCATGGCAACTGAGTGTATTGTCACTAAGAGCCGCCTGAATCAGCTCAGAAATGCGCACTTTGCTTGCTGACGAGGTTGTTTTAATGTCTGCAGGCGCTGTACACTGAGCTCCTCGGCAAACCATTTGAGGGTGGATCAGGTTGTTCGTTATTACAGCAGGGGATAATCTTATTCCGACGTGTCATAGTTATGACTTTATTCAACGCCTAAATGCTAATCCTTGTATGTCTCTTCAAGTTTCGACTTATGTATATACTATTGTTGTTTCTGGAGTAGCCTGCCTCGTAATGTCTAAGGAATGCCACGGGCCTTCTAAGAAAGGTTTTATACGCCTAAGAGACCCCAGAGGGGATTAATAGGGAGCAGTGAAGTTTCTGGCTCAACTACCAGCTAGCAGGCAGAGATATGGGAATGGGATAACCTATTAGAATAAGTATGACACAGCTTGATTTACTTCAGTTTCATGATAGTAGTATTGATGACTCTTTTTAAAATTGGAGTTTCTTTCGATCCGTTTCGTTTCCATTTCGTTTCCCCAATTTCGATCGCCAAAGTTCCACAAGCTCAGGAATGGCGATCCTCAAGAAATGCCAATTTTATAAAGCAGTGGCAAGAATAAATGTAACCTTGACTCGCCTATACTCTTCATAGTCACGATGAAGGCAGTTCACATGAAAACTTTAAAATTTCCTCAAACTAGGAGGATCCATCGAGGTTATTAACAGTAGATCATTGGCACGCTGTGAGAAATTAGCAGGCAGTTTTTTTTATAAGAAACAGAAACCATAGAAATCAATTAAAATCAATGGATCGGCTGAAATTAACCTACTCTCCACCAAGAATTTGTCAAAATTATAAGAAAATATCGATTTCTTCTAGCACGCTGATATTTATCGCATTTTTATACGCTGAACTGAAGCTGCTGCAAGCAAAATAAATGGAAAAGAGATTCCAGAAAAGAGTGTTGAGGTCATGGCAGCGTCTTTTCAACCGCTACACTTTTTCAGGCCATGTCATAGCTGATCAACACTGGGTGCAATAGCTTAAATGAAGATTACTTAGGAATTTGAAGATGAAAGCGTTGCTGGCCACGCAGCTACGATGTAGTTTCCTTTGTTTCACTTATATCACATTTCCCCGGCTTCTGAGTGTGCAAAAGTGCTCGGTTTCTGTGAAGTGCATCGGTGGGAAGAATTAGCAAGTTTTTTTTTCTTGAACCTTGGCTATTGAACGTGCTAAAAATGTGGGATTTCCATGGTGATCAGTCGTATCTAGATTTTCCATGAGCAGAGCTCTCTGTTAACTTCCACTCAAAACATATGGCTGAAAAGATGTGAATTCCCGGGAATTGGTAGTTTGAACTTTTTTTCAGCTTCACATGTTCAAATCCCATGAGTAAGAGTACGAAATAATCACGTTCCTATGGCTTCGTTGGATGAATTGACATACGTATTTTTTTCACAACGAAAACGAAGTTTCCTATGAAGTGGAGCATTCACGATGCTGTTATATCAGCAGATATCACCTTAGGTGCCTAAAGACTCAGTTCTCAATATCAGCAGAAATGACAGCAAAAAAGAGAAAAGTGAAATTGTTATATGTATCTGAGTTCTTTCTTGGCGCAGCTTCCCTGAGACTTTACCTATTTCAATTTAATTGAAGCTTGTCAGTGAAAATTACGTTGAAGCGACGTTTGCGACGGACTGATCTGTAGTAATGGGATTAATCCCTCGCAGATCTTCGGTTTATAAGTATGTACCTCGGAATAGTAGCAGTATTGTATAGATGTGCTCCTCAATTGAGAGCCAAGAAATGTAATGCAATCGGAGAAATCGACTTATGTGTTGAAATGAGTTAGTCTTGTAGCTCCACTACGTTTCTCGTGGCGACTCAATACGTTTTGTTGCTTACTTCTTCAGCAGAAGCAGCAATCCCCCCTTACCTGTCGCTGTTACAGACGAACTGTGCTCTACGTACTACATCGAAGACAGGTGCTTGAGCATAGACTCTTTGCCCTAATTTTGAAGCAATGTCTGGATCTGACTGAAGTCCGACACTGCTTCATGATTAGAATTGACAAAAACATCACGACTTGAGCGCATTATACGGGTCTGCTCACTCAACGTAAAGAGCTGTCATGTGAGCATTAATGATTCTGAACGTGAACATACGATTAAATGGCCACTCAACATGGTAAATGTCGAAGGAAGAATGCCTATCGTTATCATTATCGAAGCAGTAGAGAGGAGGGAGAATGGATATTCTAACTTGATTTCTACGCGAAGTAATGAAACGCGTGGACGCCACCAAATCATGGCAGTTTAGAAGCAGAGCGTAGAGTTGGACGAACGCGCCAAGATTTTGCTTGTATTCAAATGTCTCAATCGTCACAGATCTAGCTTCGATTCGTAGCTTCGAAGCACTTTTAAAGAGTATCTCACTTTACAGGATTGACCATAAATATAGCGACAAGGTTTTCACCTACTATCTCAGAAAGCAAAAGTGCAAACCAATCATGAACATAACATTTATTAAGTAACAACTGGTACATTAACAATTATAAGTTACTTCTCGATCCGGACACCTTTGGCACGGACGACAGCGCGGAGTCGCTTGAGAAAAGCGTCGATGACCCGACGCAGGAGTGCGTCGTCGATTTCGTCCCATTCTTGGGTGGGCGCAGAGAATCCAAATTGGAGTAAGAAGTGGCGCAGGCTTTGCTCTCGAGGTAAAACCACAAGTTATCGTTTAGTGGTTCAAATCTGGTGACGATGCCGGCCATTCTTCTGCCGAGATGAAGTCAGGGAGTTCGCTCTTGCACCACGCTTGGACGACCTTGGCCTCGTGGGTGGGCGCCTAATCTTGCTGGAATGTCCACGGGCGGCTGCTGAAGTTGAAATTCGCCCACAGGAGTAGAGCATCTTCTAGAATCGTCTTCAGTTGGTAATCTTTGTCAATTTTGACGCCGGGGTCGACAAATTTCAACAGCGTCTTCCCCGAGGCACGCACCCTTGCTCAAATCATCACTTGGGCAGTGTGTGCGGCCCGGTGAACAACTCATTTCTGGTCGGCTTCCTCGGCATTCCTTGCGATCACTCTGACGTTCTGAGCGTCGAACTGCTGCTCGACGGTGGAGAGCTTCTCACTCGAAAAGACGATCAAATGGTGGCCCTTGTTGCGCGTCCGAAGCAAAAGGTGTCGGCACTTTTTGACTCGCACCTGCTGATCCGCTGACCGAGGAGCTGAAGATAGCAGCCTCCCGAGTACGGTAGGGGTACATCTTAAGATCTCCGTGGACGACCCCTTCCATTGACTTCCGCGAGATTCCCATGTCGCGAGCAATTGTCGAGATGCTCCGAGTCGCGTTTCTTGCTATCCGCTTTATGACGACCTCGACGACCATCGGCGTGCGAGCAGTACGATTTCTTCCACTTCTTCGGCGGTCTTGGATTCCATCAAGGTTTCGATAACGTTGGAGTGTGCGATACACGACGCTGCGACGGATGCCGAGGTGCTTAGCGATCGTGGCGGGTGGGCGACCGGCTTTGTGCAGACGAACGATAGCGGAACGATCAGGAGAAGGCTTCACCATTTCACTATGAATGAACCAAATTTAACCAAATTTCGACAGGATTTAGAAAAATGATGAGATTGAAAAATCAATAAAACTGGCGCGTTATGTGCGCGATAGAATGTACGCTAACTGCAGCAAGTCTAGAGGCTATAATTAACTCTGTAGATAGAATAAAAGCAACTCTCCATTATGATTGACTCCTGAATTGACGGGCTAAGATTAAGACGGGGATTGAGCATCTCTCTTTTTTGTACGCAACTCATGGCACTGCCGCACCCATATGGACGGCAATGTGGATGCAAGGAGGTGGAATCGCCCTTAGAGAGGTGGTCTATACCCATACTTGACAAGACTCATACATGCCTTCGAAACCTAGTTTTCCCTTTGTTTGCCGCGGAACCGTTTGAAACTGAATAACGGTGCGCTTTCTCAACCCTCCCGGGTCTGTGCAGCAACCTTAACTCTTATGACTGCTTCCTGCTTGTTCACCTTTACATGTGACTACTTCATGTCTCTGTTCTCTTGAAGAAGATTGATAACGAGTGTGTTGTAAATTGAATAGGGGAAAGTCTGTTGCAGAATACTGCATTATTGGCGAAGAAAGCGAGAAAATTCGGCGCAAAATATAAGGCCATAGAAACCTGTATACTGTTGAGATTGTAATGACAGAACAGATGTTTACGCAAGACGCATGTGCATATGCGCAGAAACTTGGTTACCCTACCTACCCTACCTACTGGATTATGTGAAGGTTCAACTAAATTTCTTAGGGTAGTACGATATTTGTCGAGCTAAGTAGAAAATTGGTTTACTCCTTTCCAAGCTCCAAAAAGAGGCAAAGTCGCCGAAACGTTAGCTGACGAAGTAACTCACAACGTCGTGTACTGTTGAGCCATGTAAATTCGAACTGTAAGTATGCCGAGGTTCATCGAGATTTAAACAGAGCGGTCAGTAATTTGTGTCGCAAGATGACAGTGAATTCTCGTATTTCGCAAGGATTACCTAAAAGAAGTTGCTGTGTATAGTTTGGAGGCTCTGCCTAAACCTGAACAATCTCCTAGCCCATCAGCACGCAGATGCCAGTTATTTGGCACGTCTAAGCATCATTTGAAAGTTAGAAGGTTGAATAATTTTGCTACGCTCAGATCCTTTATAATAGAGTGCGTTGAATCTCCTTTGTTAAAGTTTTGGAAGAAGGGCATGTACGTAGCTTGCCTTTAATATTTCGGGATTAGAGAACAAAAATGAAGATTAAACATTAAAAATCGCTTTACTGCCTTTCTAAAATCTCCACATTAAGATCTATACACTTTTGCATGCGTTCGAACCAGTTGTAGTAGCACTTTTGCCACTTCGATTGAAGTCACTCTAAAACATGCATTCTGAACGCATCAACGGCTTCTTCTGGTGTCGAAAAACGTTGACCTCTCATTTTATTTTTTATCTACGGGATAAGAAGAAGGCAGTCAAGGACTACATGGCTGATGACTTATCAAATCGTTGTTTTGACTAGTAAAAATGCAATTGTTTGAGCCGATGTGTGGGAGCTCGCATTGTCGGGGTGATGAGTGATCCGTCTTCGGCATTTGCTTTTCCTGATTTTTTGGAAGGCAACTGGCAAACAAATGGTTGTATACCACTCAGAATTGACTGTTCTGCTTGTCCTAGTGGTACGGTTGCGACATGTCCAGTTTTTCCAAAAAAGCAGGAAACCAATTGCTTGGAAGTGCTTGGTGCGCGGAAGGCTTTTGTTGAATTTTGCTCATCTTGAAATACCCACACGGTCGACTGCTGTGTATACTTTCGGGCTCATACGCATAAACCCATTGTATATCACTTGTCGCGATGTCATAGAGATGTTTCAAAGCACCGCGACCGTATTTTTTGAGTACTTCTTTCAACAAATCGGCACGAGTCCTTTTTTGGGAGGATTGGCAAATTTTTCAAAAACAATTTTTTTACAGTCAAATGTTCATGCACTATTGAATGTATGTTAGTCTCTTTGATGCCTAAGGTTGTCCCAATCTCACGATAGGTCACATGTCGATCTTGCTATATTAGTCTGCGCACGGCATCGGAAAAACAACTGATTTTGGAGACCTCCACGGAATTCGTCTTGGAGTGAACTACGACATCGGGTAATTCCATCATACCATCGATAAGCACTGGCCCTTGATGGAGCCTCATCGCCAAAAGGGGAGCGGGAGTTCAAGGGGGAAGGAGGTTTGGGCCTAAGTGGGGGATGGGGGCGAATAGGGCCTTAGTAAAATTTTTAAGTTAGCGTAAACAACACAAAGAGCGCTCATATGTCAAAACGTTCTGAGTAAGTATGACCTCAAAAGAGTCAAACTTTACGATAGAGCTGTGAGTTGCCAGATTGCAACACTAGGGTTGCTCAATCCCGAAATATAAAAGGCAACCCTCGTATCAACTGCCACAGAGCATATTCGTACAGTTCCAGCGACAACATCTGTTCTCGGTAGGAACATCGACTTGCTTGCATCCCTTCTCTAGAGAGCCTCTTTCTTTACCATAAATTTCGACGCGTGCTCTCGAGCAGGACGACGGAACAAAGAGCGACAGGCCTTTAGACAGTTGCTTTTCGTTTTCTTCTTTAGTGGCACGTTCTACCGGACGATGTCGATGAATAGTACTTGTTAAAATTTAAAAACGCACCCTGGCTCTGAAATGAAATGTGCTGTCTCTTCATTAGGAACTTCTTACTAATTCCATGACCTTCTCATGAGATTCCACGCATGGTGGGTTTATTTAAAAGCATATAGTTGCTACTTCTTTTTACGTGTTTTTCTTAATGGTGTTATTCATGTGATCTTTCTAAATATCAACAACGCTTTCCATTCGCGGTATGAGAAGTTTTGTTCGTTCGATCCAGATTCTTGATGCACACGTCGCGCCTCTCTCGGTAATTTAGTTTGGTTTGTTCCATTTAGTAGTTTCCTTCAAGGCCCCTGGGGGGCGCGCGAATCACGCGTGACCCCATTAGAGCTCTTCGCATACGCAGCATCGCTTCAGTACCTTTCTGTTGAGATGGACCGAATAAGATTTGCAGTAGTCCACGGTTTCACCATGAATTAGAGCAATTCACCTTACTATAGCGATGAAGCCCCTTCGAGATTAAGAACTCACTTCCTAGTTCACCAATTTTCTTGTCAAACGTTCAAAATAAGGATAACTTCATATTTTTTGATCCTAGAAAACGCCATCTTTCTGCAGACGTGAATAGTTGGCCATTTTTTACTTCTCGTGAATCACACCACACCCAAGGCCCCCTGACTATATGGAACAGTTGAATCAAAGTTGGTGTAGAAGCAATGCCTCGAAAATTTCCGATCACTTCTAGAAACAAAGCAGGGCAGTAATGAGAAACTCATGAGTTGACCCATGAGATAAAGGCATTGTTAGTTACACTGGTTTGCAAAGCTCAGGGACGAGATGGATGACGTAATATAAAATGTAATATAAAAGAAGAAGAACTGTGTCGAAATCAACGGAAGCGTGGGAGCATGTTACTAGATCTATAACGGTTATGCACAGCAAGCTGGACTTACCTCTATAGAAGAATAGTTCAAATAAGACGCGAAATATGATCGGCGCAAATCGAGGGTTGGTAGGTAAGGAAAAAAGTTTTGTCAATCAGTAAGTAGCTACAAAACACTGTGGTGGTATCCTTCAATACATCATGTGCCGAAGACGTCATCTGGACGACTTCACCAAGAGATGTAACTGTCGACAGCTCGACAAGGCTTCAAGTGGTATATTTTGACGATTGAATTTGTTGCTTTTAATCGATTTAGATGTATTGTAGTCAAATTTTCGCCACAACTCATCGTCGTATGCAACTTTGTTGAAAATGCTTAAGCTCGCGGGCGCCGACTATGTTGTTAGATTTAAGGAGATGAGCTCGTCATACAGTATAAAGTCAGGTGAACAGAAGGAGCCTGGCAGTGCTCGCTTTAGCCACAATCACTTACTTATAAGCTCCCCTAGAACGGAAAATCATGCGAGCGCTCCTTCTCCTCACAAGTTACTGTGGCAGATCGTAAGTTGGTCGTTATTATCGCACGTCATAAAGCTGTGCCACAGTACTGTGTTAGAAGCACAGGAAAAGTCTCGCGTGGCAGTGGGAACAGTGAACGCCACAGTTGACCTTGAAGTATCAAGAAAACTGAGCCCCTCTATAATTTCATGGTGCATCGGGCAGCAGACGAACCAGGTCAGTCGAAAATGTTCCTAGGTGAAAAATGCGGAACATTTTCCATAGCGAACAAATACGATTTTCATGTACGTCCAACATGTAGGTCGTTTCCACAGGCGGATATCTGAGTACAAAGAAGTATCTACTTGTGACCCCTAAACGGTTACTTTGCATTCCAATAAGTTGGTAACAGCGATTACTCGTTTCAAGTCAGAGAAATTAGGGACACTCAGCACAGAAGAAGATGACAGCAGATCTACCTTCATCAGGGAAAGCATAGTGAGACTGGAAGTACCGATCGGAGCTGCAGCGGAAGCTAATGTGAAAATCCGAGAGCTGCTACAGAACTACGCTGAGACACTCAGCGTTATACTTTTCACATTGCTTTGCCGTACAGGTTTGTTAAAATGGAGCCGTGTTTCTGGTCAACGTTTCGACTGAATCGTCGTCTTCAGGACCTGAAAACAGTTCGAAGCTCCTGATCTGTGTCTTGCCCGACCAAGCGCCCAAAGGCGCTAGCCCAGTTGCAATAGATCCCAGAAACTTGAACACTAAAAGATCCCAACCGAGAAATCAACATTCTGCGGTTCCACCAACGTTGCCGTCTCACTCGATTTTGTGAAGAACGAGGGATCAATGAGACACCATTGATGGTCGTCGGATAAGAGTTACGCGGTGTTCTCAAAGCCCACATAAAGGAATGAATGGCAGAAATTTGCATTTTATGGCAATGCACTCTTTCGGTTGTTGAATTCAGAATTTCTCTCGTGGATGTGCGACGCTTCCAAGAACTTTCTGGCAC